TGAACAAGAGACCAGGGAGCATCTGGTTTCAGAAATCCAGGTGTGTTAGGGTATAAACTTGTCACAAACTAGGCTGCTGAATCCCTCCTCTGGGGCTCAGAGGTAAGTCCCCTGGAACTTTCTCTCTTACCTTGAAGAAACAATATAAAAATATACACAATATATAATATAAACAAGACATAACATAAACAATCTTGCATTAGAGCTCAGTGTGATTACCCAAGTGACTTAAAAAAACCCAACCAACTAAAAAAGACAAAAAAAAAAAAAAAAGAAAGAAAAACAGAGCAGCAATTTTTTGAGTTTGAACCTGTGAGACATTGATCTTCCTGAACTTGAAAGTACCTCAGTGAGAGCAGGAGGACAACAGCATCTCATAGGTTGGAATCTTTAAGTATTTAATGAGGTGTATCTAAAAATCTAAACAAACTACCTCAGAAAAAATAAAACCACCAATCCCTAAATTTCTAGTCAAAATAGTGAGAGTTCTCTCAAAGATAAATACAAAACTATTCAGTCAGAGCAGAAAAAGAAAGCAATAGTTTATGGGCACTGATACACATTTGCACTCTGCATTCTTGTAGTAATATGAAAAAAAAGTCACTTTCAGTGATAAAACTGTTTGTAACCATCTGTGTAAATTCAGGAAAAAGCAGGAGGATTTTAAAAACCCTACCTTTATACAAGTATTGAAGAAAGGCATTTCAGACAATTCATAACACCTCTGCTTAGCACCACCTAGTATCAAATCCAACCCAAGATATGAAATCACTCCTCTGCAGCATAAGTAGAGGTACCAGACCAGATCCTCAGCTGGTGTAAATCCCCTTGTCTTCACTTGCCATAGTGATTTAGTTTTTCAGCTGTTGAAAACTGGACACATACTACATGTAATCTGCATTAATACTACAAAATCATACGTATACTGTTGTCACCAGCAGTCGGACGCGGGATCGCGGCCACTCAACCTCTGCCTGGAAACTCAGGCTGCCGTGTGGAGGATGCAGCACGTGGCGTTTATCGCGTCATTGCGATGGGTTCTCTGTGTTAATCCCCGCCCACAGCGCCCCTCGCGGGCGGCCCGAGCTCTCCGGTACATCGCACATCTTCCCAACGCCCATCCCTGCCTAGGGCGGGCTCTGCCTGCTACAACAGTATATAAAAACCAGGGTGGGATTTTCTCTCATCACAATGAGAGCTTGATGTTCTGAAGAAAACATCCTTATGTTTGGACATACTTATATTTGATTGTCCAGGGAAATGAAACAAGTACAGAATCCATTTTAAACCAGATAATGATTGCATGGCAATCTGAAAACCTTAGAAAGAACACCTCCCTCTAGTTTTTATTTCAGCGTCAAGTTGACCAAGTAAGTCACTGTCCTAGGAGGCTGGTGTGACAACAATCTGTATTTACCAACTGCCATTTCCAAAGCCTACACCTAAGGAACAGAATATTCTGGCTGATGGAAGAACACTTGCATATTCTTCCGTCATTCATCTAGGTTATTATTTTTTTCTGACTACGTTATAAACTCTCTCTGCAAAGAGAATTCTGTCCAGTTCAGTTGAAGGTTCTTTCCCACTTCAGTGCCATTTTGACTAAAAAACAACCTCCTGTCAGATCTGAGTGATCTACCTGACAGCAGCAGGTGTAGGAGGATGGCTGTACATCTTATTTTCCTCAGGAATGCACCCTTTTATTCTGCAACCAAATAATAGCTCTGAACTATCCCTCACCTTTGAATGAACTTACTTTTATACACACTTCAGCTTTCAGGGCTCCTTGAGCTTCCAAGTCTTCCAGGTGATTGCTACAACTAGTGTTTTCCTCGCCCAGCTCAGTACATGCATTTCTCTGCAACATGAATGCATTTGAAAAAAAAAAGCAGCAGGGAAGAATGAAGCTCAAAAAACAATGCTGGGATGGATCACTTACTGCTTGTTCTGTGATCCTGGAACAGGCTGGTATGTTTTTGTCTTATGGGTCTTAATACAATCTGTGCCAAAGGAGTTTCTACAACTTTGTAATAAGCTGCACTGCTGCTCACCTCTTTAGCTTGCTATCCTATAAAATCAAACCCAGATTTTATTTAGCCCAAGCTAGCTCATTATTCATCTCTGAAAGAAATAGAGAACCATAGAACATCAGAACCTTTTACTGATCAGAAGATCAATATGCTTCTCAGTTTCCCTTTCTAGATTAACAACCCAAACTCAGTTTTTCTGCTTAAGTCATGCTTTCTAAACATCTCGTTAGATGTTTAGATCAATGCTCTGACTTTCTTGGAATGTGATACTCATAGTACTTGCACAGAGGAGTAAATTTCTTCCTGAATCTTACCACTGAATTTCTGCTAACACACCACACCCTAATTACTTTGTGGTCCACTCCAGACCTTGATGGAATGTACAATTTGACTGTCAACAACCACAGGAAATACATGCATGAGAATCACTAAAGAGCTCTGTAATTCAAAAGCTTGGGTTATCTTTAAGCCCACAGATATATTCCAGTCCTTTTTATCATATTTCCCATTACTCTAATACAGCTCTGCTGCAAGCTTTATCTGCTAAAAATATCTTTTAATAAAAAATTGTCACACAAATGACCAAAACCTGCTTGCTTATACAATGAGAAAGTTGGTATGCATCTGCCAAATAAAAAAGAAAATGCATCATTTCATCTGAAACAAAAAAAGTCTTGAATTTTTGTGTTGCTCAATCCTTCATTTTCTGTAAACCGTGAGAAATCATGCAATGGTGAACATTCATAAAATCCTATAGTACCAGAAAACTCAGCGTAAGCATGTGATCCAGAAGTTAGACACAATGCTGCTGAGCAGTTTCTGCCATACAGCTATTTAAATACTCTTCCCTTCCACTAGAAATGTCAAAGAATGATTCTGAAGAAAAACCTGAAATGCTAACAATGGATCCAGAAAGATCTCTGGAATTAAGCTACAGTGGGATGAGATAAGGAAGAAGAGAGTATTCTTCCTACCTCCACCATCCTTTACCTTTCTCCGTGAAAAAAAAAAAAAAACCAGGAACCAGCTTTTCTACTCAGACCATCATCAGTTCAATTGTAATACGGATTAGAGTCAAGAATGTGTGAACTATCCACATAAAACATCTCAAAAGTAAGAGTGGATGGATCAGGCTATATAAACTACAGATAGCTGCATCCAAGTCACACTTCTCTAATCCATAATAATTTTTACCGTCCAAAGCAGTCTGAAACATAGTCAGCTATATTATCATTCCAATAATGCTTTATGTGCTATCACTTTCTAATCTAATTATCAAGATGTTCTATTTTAAAAAGCATCAGTATCTGGAAGGAAATGAATACTTAGGGTTTCACTCTATTCCTCTGAATCTGAAACTCTGAAGGAAAGAAATCCAAATCTAGAAATTTATACTAAATTTCACATTTATTCTTCCATATTTTGGCACAAGAAAGTTTGCGGGTGTTTCAGAAGCTGTGTTCTTTTTCTTATTTTCTATATCTGAGCATTTAGGCATTGCTTTTTAGATTAGGTCTACAAAGTTACAAAATGGGTTATAATTTCTATCTGTATTTCTGTATTTTATTCCTCCTGCAAAAGACATGCATCTTCTGCTAAGCAAGTTGTGCATTTTTCTCTTAGGAGAGTAGGTGGTTCTCACAAAACCAAAACCTATTAAGCTCTATAAGAGAGAAACAAATTCAGCATTAAAACAAAATCCAGCAAAATGCAGTGCTGCACTCTGCTAAAATAATCTCCTTTCTTCTCTTGACACTTCTGTCAAGCCTGTGACAGTGTCTGTACATTCTCCCTCACATTACTATCCTGACTGAGCATTTAGAAAGGAAGGCAACTTTTTACCCTTTTACCCTCCAGTATTCCGCTCATCAGGTTACATTTCAAATCTGGTATTCAATTATCAATTAAAAAAAAAAACCAAAAAAACAAAAATCAATCAAACAAACAAACAAAAAAAAAACCAAAAAAAACCCAAACCAAAACACCAAACAAAAAAACCCCTCAAAATTGGTAGCAGCTAATTTTAATTCCCATACAATTGTCATAGCCTCAAAAGAAGATTAAGCAACCTGAAAAAAACCCTACACACAACAGAATCTCATGACAGAGGAGGATGACTAGTTATGTATCCAAAATAAAATACAATCAAAATGAAGAAAAACTTACTCATCTTTGTACAAGCTGGCATTTCATCTATAAAAGACATCTGTCACTTAGACATGGCACAACGCTCAACGCAATAGGGAGAGCATTATCAAGTGCTGTAGAGCAAGTTTGACGTTCATTGGGAGAGGTCAGAAAGGGACAGGGACTTCAAGGGGAGTTGTCATTTCATTAGCACCACTTCTCTGCACAGTTCAGGCTCCTGGAACAGTGCAAATACTACAACCAGTGTTTTGGGACATCCTCAGTACTCACTGGAGGGCAGATTTTCAGGAGAGCTCAGTTTCACAGAAGCATCACTGAGCCTGTATGTTGGCTAATCAAGACAGAAAAAAAAGGGGAAAGGGAGAAGGCAAAGCGAGGGATTCTGTACCACTTTCTTCAGGACTGGCCTTGAAGTCAAAACCTCCAGAAACCCTTTCCGTCTCCCAAGCTTGCACACGACTGTGCTGAGAGCGGCTGCTCTCTCAGACCCCTCACATCCACCCTTTGCTCTCTGCATCACCACTCTTCCCTGTATTCCCACTTCGGTGCAGAACTCATGAGCCCTTTGCCTTTCAGCACAGCACTTCAATAAAACAAGTGAATCTTCCAAAGGATTCAACACCTAAGAGCTGGGGGGGGGGGTGGGAGGAGGAGGAGGAGGGTGGATGGAAATCAAGCCTTTAGCTTTTCAGTTCCTTTGGAGCTGTGGCCTTCAGTACTTCTTGGCAAGACTCCTAAAGTGAACAAAAAAGGGGAAAAAAAAAAAAAAAAACCAAAGAAGAGACGTTTCTTACTGCCCCTTCTCTTGCTGTCTCGCAGCCCATGGGATCGGAGCGGGCGGAGATGCGCAAACGGCAGACGCCGGCGAGCCAGGAGACCCCGGGGGCTTCCCAAGCGCCGCACAGCGCGGGCAACCGAGGCTCCAACGCCTGCTGCTTCTGCTGGTGCTGCTGCTGCAGCTGCTCATGGTAACGCTCTCACTCAAGCCTCTGGGCAACAGAAGAGCAGGGGAGGGGGATGATATTCAGCTTATAGGACAACATAACCCAAACACACCACTGGATCATCCTGCAAATTTGAGACTAGCAGAGATGACTGTGCTTTAGTACTAGACACAGCCTTCTAATAATCCAGTTTACTCTTTTTTTCTCCCTGCCATTGAAATAACAGATTTTTTCAAAAATTCTGTACAGTATCCCTGCTATACTTTTGCTGTCAATACTGTGTAATGGAAGGTCTGTTCTGTGCAGGACTGGTTCTTCTCAGCCTTGAGCTTCACCAGGGCTTCCATTAAAGCAATACAAGAATGTGTCACAGCTTCAAATTTGGGACTAGGATTTAACAAGCAGCACAGACTGTGCAAAATAGATTTAGGAGAAGGTGGAAGAATTTGTAGGTCAGAAAATGAATAACCAGGTGCCCAGCACTGTTCTCCTGTTTCAAAGGCAACTGGATCTGTTGTCATTAGTGTTGCAAACTCATGGCACCTGCAACTCATATGAAGTTATTAATCCTTCAGATTAGATTACCCATAATGTTGGGTATTTGATGTATTTGCTGAAGATGAAGAGTTAAGCAGAACCTAATTCAGAAGAACTCAGAATACAAGGCATAAAGGAGGAAAATGTATCAGGGAAGCAAAGCAAAAGTGGAAAAGGGATCACTCCATTCCTTAAATTAATGATGTGTCCACCTTCTCTCTCTTACTAGCTCCTCCAGATCCAAGTGATTTCATTCAAAACTGAAGTAAAGTTTCCCATACTCAAAAGTCCTGTCTGGGGCCAAGTGTCAATTAATGGGTGAGACCAGAACTTGCATTGAAATAAAGAAAAAACATCCTTAAACAGCCATAGGAGTTCACCTAAAACACTGACAGCAAGCTGAGTACCTCTTATAAATACATGATCCACTACATGAAACATTTCAAAGCAAGCAAACCTGGCACTGAGGTGAAACAAAGAGGTCATAAATAACCTTACAGCCCAGGCTAGAAATCTATTCCACCATTATCTTTTTCCAACAGCAACAGGTAGAAAATGCTTTGGAGAATACCATTGGAAGGTAAGGGAAGAGCAGGCTGATACTCCTTTGTTATTGGTACTTGGCTCATCAGAAACCGAGATCCCAAATTCTGCCTTCCCTAACACAGTCAATGTTTTGTAAGGACCAGAGGCTGCTTGGAGTTTTTCTTGCAAGATGCCAAGTATCCTGGCTCTGATCCTACCAAGCTTTTCACCAGGTGCTTCAGGGTAAACAAAGGTAGACTTTAAGAAGACATTAAGTACCATGCCTGTAGAGGGTCAGAGTTTGTTACCTTGCAGAATGGTGTCTATGTTAAAGCAGCCCAGAAAAACTCCTGTGTCATCTGAACAGCTGTCCAGTGCAATTGTAAGTGGCTCAGTCTAGAGCTGCATTATAGAAACACACGTCTTTCCATAAAAGGACAAAATGAGGCACATTTATCTACTAAGAGTACCTAAAATTTGCATTTTATCTTTTAAATTGGTGATGAAGTGCTTTTTGTGCCATTTTACCTGATATTTTTCAGGAAGCTCAGTTTCTGTGCACCTCACTAGTCAACCAATTCAAAGAAAGCAATTTACTCAGTAGGGTGTGTGAAAGCACCCAAATTTCATGATGCTTAAAATTCCTATTTGCATTTCAGAATCATTTGAAATTCATTCTGAAACCAGTTCAGGCTCCAAAAGAGAGAAAATTCTTTTTGCTTTAAAATAATTTCTGATTTTTTTTTGAGAACAATTGTTTTCTAGTAGCAAGAAATGCAAAACAAACCGTAATTAAGCTATTTATATTCCCTATTCATAGAGCCTTTCCTCAAAATAGCTTAAGTACTTTGAGCAGAAAAATTGTGAATAGGAGTAAAAATAAGTCTACATGAGTCACGCAGCCGAGTTGCTGAACATCCAATATTCAGCATACTTTTAATAGTAGATTTAGAAGGAAGAAGTGGGGAAATGAGTCTCTCAGCTGGATGCTCAGTGCTTGTGTTCACTCCTACAGCCAAAATTTTTGCTTCCAGCCTGTTACTCTTCCAGATCCTGAGAAGATGGAGCACTGCATTAGGTTTTTTTTTTGTTTACAGTTGGAGGGAGTGAGCCTCCTGCAAGTAATTTTCTGAGGCATTGGCATGTTCTCATAAAGAAACTCTTGGTATTTCTCTTGTCTTTTTCCCCTTTTGTACATTACCCTATGAAGACCATAATCCTTCCTGTTGGTTCCCCTCAATCCAAAAATAACTCTGACAATCCTATCACTTCCTGTCTCTCTGTGAGGAATACATAACATATCAGTTTTCATACATAAAAAAGGCCAGAATCACTGCTAAGAAGGGTAGTAAAGGATTGAGACCTACAAACTCCAAAAGAATACAGAACTAATATTAACTACTTTTTTTTTTCCTGAAGAGGTGAACTGAAGCAGTTCACTGGTTTGAATGTATGGTTCAGACACTGCAGAAAAAAACCAAAACCACATGTTTGCAATATCTGCTCTCCATCTTAGCAATAGGAAAGCTTCTCTACCTCCGCAATGCACGAGTTGAAGTCTCTGCTGGTTGTGAACTAGCACTAGAGAAAACAAGAAAGGATAAAAGGAAATAGGCTGCAAATAAGACAAAGCCATGAGTTTAGAAGGCAGAAAGATCAACTCGTTTAACAAAAAGCCTCACTACAGGTAAATGAGATTCTTAAGGATTAAGACAACAAAACTGCTATATTTGCCTTAAAGAAAGGTAAGATACAAATGAAGAGATTAAGTTTGATATTTTCCTAGAAGTTATAACAACTGAAGAACCCATTCCATATAAATTACAGCTTATAATTCACTGGTACTTTTTCTTCTGGACAAATTTTAAGCAGCTTTACAGATTGTAAGAATGTGTGTGTGTGTGCACATGCATTTCTCACTAAAGTATGGCAACCTATGAACTAGAACATCATCCCCATTCCTCAAGAAGAAATATGTGTATACTCAGCAATGATGTATGTGCTCTTCGTGCTATAGGGCTATTACTATGAGTAATGTGGCTACCATGAGCTTCTGTCCTCCAATTTACTTTTTTCTAATATCAGAGGAAAAGCATCTGGTGTACATCCAGCCTTGCCCTCTCTGAAACTGACTAAAATTTTGTTTGCTACCTTTGCAGTCTTACTGTTAGAAATCAAGATGAAGAGAGAGCAAGGAGAACATCTCATGAACTCCAAGCAGAGGGCATTCCAAACTGCGAGGAAAGGTATGGTCTTTCCTAACCAACTAAAATGAAAGAAACCCAGAAAACCATACTAAATAAAGTGAATTACCTGAAATATACATTAATTATCTGCTCAATCTGCTGTCATCTGTCTTGTTCCTCCTGAGGAGCCAAAGGGCTGATCTTTACTCCTTTACCTTATTTGCAGCATGTAGCCACATCCCCACTTTCATAACGTGGCAGATATAAACCAGCACTGTAAACAGTTTCCCTTTTTTTATTGAAATAATTTTCAAGTACATCCTGATCCCACTCAGCAACTGTGAGATGAAGCTAACTGGCAGTGCTCAGGCTTACAAAAAAATAATAAATAGGAGTTCAGATCCTCCCAAGAGTCAGGTAACTGTCTCCAGAATGGCTCAAGCAGGTAGAAACACCTGTAATAGTAGACAAGATGGTGCCTTTTATGGGGCTTGAATCATTGGTCCTTTCTATGTGTTTTCATTCAGTTTTTAACAATGATTCAACAAGGACTACTGGGGATAGAAAAACTGCTTGGCTGTTGCAGAGGGATGACTTTGTTGCAATTAATTTGAGTAATAAACTGCAATTTCTGCATCAAAACACCAGAAATCATCTGCATCTGGGATAAACATGTTCATACTAGAGTTTGCAGATTCCAGTGAGGAATTAAGAGCTCCATGAACCTTCTGATTTTGTTTCATCATGACGGCAGATGCCTCCTGCCAGCTGCAAACAGCCTGAGTAGTAATCATTCGTTTCTCTCTTCTCGCCCTCTCCTTCCTCCTCAAGCCCTGCTCCGACTCTTGAAGAAGTCAATGCCTGGGCTCAATCATTTGACAAGTTGATGCTTACTCCAGCTGGCAGAAATGCTTTTCGTGAATTTCTACGAACAGAATTCAGTGAGGAAAACATGCTCTTCTGGATGGCCTGTGAGGAACTAAAACAAGAATCCAACAAAAGTGTCATTGAAGAAAAAGCAAGGCTCATTTATGAAGATTATATTTCTATCCTTTCTCCAAAAGAGGTATGTTCCTTTCTCCAATACAATCTTTGAGGCTGCGTTGCACAGTTAGTTCTAATGTGTTCAAAGCAACAACAGTACTTGGGGAGAACTTTTTTCCCCTCTCACATTCCTTTGCCAAGAAGCAGAGATTTAGGGGATAAAGGCAGACCTTTATCCGCCTTTGAGAAAGGTTGAGGTGAGATGGTCAAAACTTTCACTGGCTATAAGAAAGCTTTTCCTATGCCACCCTGGCATTCTGATGTATAAACTAATCTAAAGTTTATACTAATACTAATCTTAACTAAATCTTTAGTTTGAGGCACAAATATTCAGATGATCACTTTATTGTTAGATTTTACGTGGACAAGACTTCTTTCTTTGCACTGTGGGGGGGGCTGTTTCTCAAATGCACAAATAAAGTGTTAATTGCAAAGCACAAATTGCTTAGAAGAGCAGCTGACAAAATAGGGCATAGAGAATAAAACCTTCCTGAAAATGTTCAGAATTACTTGTCACTTCGCTGTTAGCAAATATGTCAAGTTTGGAAGACACCTCAGACTTCAGTTCGAATATAATCCTGCCAAGCAGGCTGGAATTTTAAACCTTCCAATATCCTTGCAAAACTCAGACTTAAGTATAGCTTGTACTGAAACAATTATGTACTTCTAAAAATGCTGTTTAAATTTAGTCCATCTATTCCAGTAATACAAGTATCTTCCTACAGAGACTACAGCCTTGCAGAAGAAAAAAATTACATTATTTATATGTTGTATGGAATCATTATCTAGCCATACCTGTGGTTCACATCAATTCACCCTGCTTTTTAACATAGCAATTTGATTAAGCAACAGCTTCCCAGGTTACAGTTTCCGTCTGCGTCATACTGCTTACTCCACAGTCAGTTTCTTTACAACAGCACTAAGTCCCAAGGAAATGAACTGTCACAAAAAATTACAAATCCTCTCTACTACAGAGCAGAAAGTTGGTCTGGAAATAACCTGCCAGTCTCTCAGGTCCCAGTAACAACAGGATTGCAGGCAGCCTTGCTCAAAGTAAGGTCACCTAAGCAAGAACGTTTCTCTACCCACAGCCGAAAGATTACTACTTCCAAATTTCAAAATTTTGCCTAGGTATTTTTAGCAGTTTTTACACTCTTGAAGCACACCAGCTGAACTGGTTAAAAAAAAGACTTTTCTAGCCAATAAAAGAAACCTTTCAAAATCCCACCTATTCACCACTATTAATGATGTGACGTTGTGTTTTAATATGCAGGTGAGTCTGGACTCCAGAGTGAGAGAAGTTATTAACCGAAATATGCTGGAACCCTCCCAACACACCTTTGATGACGCACAGCTTCAAATTTATACTCTAATGCACAGAGACTCCTACCCTCGGTTTATGAACTCTGCTATTTATAAGGACTTGCTTCGGTCCTTATCTGAAAAATCCATTGAAGCATAGGATTTTTTTCTTACATGTATTTATTTAAAACCAAACAGAACTCTGAGCTACACCAATCCACAGGGACTTTAGAATTAACCAGATATTTACCTGAAGAGAACTCAGGCAAGTTCTCCTACGGACTGAACGATTTAAACCTCCACAAGGCTCTGATACAATCAGCTAACTACAGCGTCTGATCACATTCAGTGTTACTTTCCAAAAGAGAACGAGAAGAAAATATTGCTCTTCAAAAAATGCAGTATTTTTTCTAACTTGTAGACAACACAGGTCTGAGGTCCAAATGCCAAGAGAGCATGAAAACTAAATTTTCTTTCCTAGTGGAGTGTTAGAATTTTCTTGAAAACCAAACCAGTTGCCCCATCCAAACCGTGACCAAAGTGAAAACGGTACTGTCATTATCTGGGTTACACGAGACAAAGTCCCACATACTGCTGGAATCATGCCTGGTACAGATACACTCCACTTGTCCTGGTATATTTAATGTGTAGACAGTGTGCTAATGGCAATCAGTACGGCAATCTCAAGTTTATGAAAGCTAATGGTTGAAATAATGCTGCCTATAAAGACCTTTTGCTGAAGAATTGTTATTTTACTACTAGAGTCTGCTGAAAGCATTTTTAAGTTCGTATTGTTGATGTTTATAAAGTTAAATTATTTACTTAAGAGGAAGAAGAGTTTGGGCATTTAAATTCCAAAATAAAGCACAAGAATTCTCACATATTCTTCTTGTCCTTCGGTAGGCAGATGTAAAACCTCTTCCCTATTTGCTCCTGAGAGCATGGCAGGATCAACCATCACGGGTTTGTACATATTAATTCTCCTGTGACCTGACAGAGCTTGTAAGGTTTCTATTACAGATATGCACACATTTAATTGACAAAAGAAGGAAGCTAGCGCTGTTCAGCTCTGCTATAGACCTATTACAGACCATCCAAAAGAAAAGCAACAGCTCTATCCACTAATAAACCACATTGATTTACAGCATCCCCAAAGCTTTACACTTGATTTCTGGTCATATCTCAAAATCAGTAATCACAGGAAGTACAAGAAAGTAAGCTGAATCCACATAATCTATGTGTAGATCTGTTGTTAGAATAACTTCTTTATTTTAAATTACAAGATCTACTACAATTCCACTAAATTAAACTTTGGAGCTTATAGCAGACTTCCACTGAATTGTATTTTTTCCTGCACATTTATTTAAAGGAGCCAAATGACCCATACAGGTAGAAAAAGGACATGGGAAATAGAAAGAAAAAACCAGTACCCTAAAAGGGAAGAACCAGACCAGCATATTGCAGAGACATTTACTGTAGCCTTTTAAAACCTATTCTTTGCCCAATTCCAGCACTATGAAAACCACAAAATGGGGATTTTCTCCCAAAAAAAGGAACAACCAGATAGAATTTAGGAGATCAATTTAATTGTCTCCTCAACGCACTTGTCAGGAGACATGTTCTCCCCTTACTGCATTCACATTATTAAATAAATAATAAGATTTTTCAGCAGCACCACCATACTAGACCTGATACATGTATGTTAAAAGTAGCTATGGACCAGTTTCCATCCATCTCCTTCCAAAACCAAAACACTATTCAGTATGTCATGAGAAAAAATTAAACAAACAAATTTAAGAGAGATGGCAAATCCAAGTGCTTTTCCCATCTGTAACACAACACTGGATGACCAAGTTAAGAGGAAGCCCTTCTACCCATACTTAATATCTGGTCCAGTTAGTGGTCACCACTGCTGAATGTGTTGATGCTGGCTGTCCCAGCTGAATTTCTAATAAACACGCCCAAAGCACTATCAATGTGATTTCAGTTTATGTAATAAAGTATTACATGACAGGTAATAAATACCAACAAAACAAGCCAGATATATTGGTAAGGCAGCATTCATGGGAAACTTGCAGCCAGGCTGACCATGTTCTCATTCAAGGTGGACAAGTGCTCTAAAACTCTAAGTAAGTTTAACTAGGTCAAATTCAGCTTGCTGGAGAGATCAGATGTACACATCAGAAAATGTTCAAAGTCTGTCATTCCATTTCTTTTAAGTTCTCTCTCTTCCCTGCAAAGACACCTCATTAAAAGCTGGAAGAACAGACTGAACACTCATATTTTATCTCAAACAATACATGGTATTATTCTGCAAGAAAAAGAAAGAAAAAGGTGCAATGAAATTAGAGGGGAGAGAAAACCATATTGGTTTGGGCAGTTCTTTTACTAATCTGATGTTAACCAGAGAAGAAAACACTAATTTCTAAGTTTATTTTCCATGTGCCATAACTTCTAAGCAATTAAGTTTCTCTGGGCAGTTTTAATTTTCCTTCTGCATTACAATATGCCAACATTTGCTACGCACCCACCCTTCCTGAAAAATCTCAGTAAAATTTTAATGATGTGGTTTAAGTTTACACTAATGGCAGAATGCTGGTCCCTAGATATCCTGAGAGTATTTCTTAAAAAACCCAACCAACCATCCCACTCTTCTAAATATCACATTGTATTTAATTGAAGGGAGGAATAAAAAAAAAAAAAAAAAACACCAGCACAGAAGACAGGTTTTTAACTACATTTTGTTACTACATACTCATGCAGTATGCAGAAACTTTTCTCAGGGCAACAGTGAGTTACATGGAACAGAAGTTACTGTTGACAATGTGATACATGAATGGCAGGCAAAAATCCTCCTGTTGACACAAGACACTTATAATTAATCAAGTAAGAAATTATCACAAAATCAATCTATCCTAGCTTGAAAATAAGCCTGGTTGGTTTGTCTTGGCATTTACCTAACTGCAGGGTATCATTAAGGTCTAACAACTTTCCAGTCCACTGGTATTCTCCCTTCAGTGTCTGCACTTTACAAATCAGTAAGTCCCAGAGCACAGCCATACTGTTAATGGCTGCTCTTTTCACCAGCCTGCAAACCTCTATCAAAATTGCACGGGCTCCTTCAGCCAACACACTGTGTTTTACACTGACCTTTAAATTCCAGTCATTAGCACAATATAAAGAAGAAAAAAAATATATACCCTGCATAGCTCAGTTACATACAGGTTAAAATACATCACACAAACATGCGCTTATTAAAAAGGATAGCTGAAAAAAGTGGTGAGAAAGACAACAAAGTACTTTTTAAACAAGCTTTCTCTATACAGCACTCAAGAACATATGAAAGGTATCAATATAATTTCAATGACATTAATGAAAGATTTTCTATACTAATGTTTTAACTAAATTAATCCCAAACCTTTTAAAATGGTAAAACAATTCAAGATAAGTGATGATCTCATGAAAGAGAAGCTAATATACAGCTGTATGAAATAGTACTTAGAGGAAAGTCCTCAGGTATATTCTGGGGTTTATTCTATTTAAGGGGTTGGAACTAGATGATCTTCAAGGTCCCTTTCAACCCAAACCATCCTATGATTCTATTTATATGAATGACTACTAATGATCTTTTTCAGAAATATGTGTGTGAAAGCTAATACAACCACTTTTTGCAGGGTGAAGACCTGATGACAAATTTAAGTTCTACCTAAAATGTATGGGTTTGAGTTTCAATTCTAAATTCATGTATGTGATCCCAAGTGGAATCCTGAACTCTGGATAAAAGCCAGGCATGTCCTTTGCAATGCATGGAAAGCGCAATAGGGCTTCAAAGTGGGATCCACAAAAGCCAAGACCATTGAGCAGGGATTTACCTTCTGCTTAGTGTTAGTCATAAAGAATCATTCAGTACAAGGTATTTTGAAACCCACACTTCCTCCTGAGCAAGTTAACAGAACTACATGGGGAGAAATGCCTTCTAATGAAGGATCTGGAAGCTGTGTCTTCTGAGCAGCAGAAACCTTCCAGAAGGAAGGTGTCATCCATAAAGATCTAAACTCTTTTTCTCTCCTAGATTAGTGAAAAAATTAAGGTGTAGGGTAACTATGTTCCAGTCTTTCTTTCAGTTGAGAGGATTAAAATGTCCATAAAGGTAACAAATAAACCTGCTATTCTTGGATGGGAGTGATTCAGCCCAGTTCTGCTGGCATGTATCACTGCATAAAATGCCCAAACCTACTGGGTCAGTCATAGCATGACCACAAGCTCAGTAGGTAATCCAGCCAGCTGGGGAAAGGAGATATGGTCCCAGCCCCACCTCTATATCCTTCTCCTATACCTCCTCCAGACCTTGCATCCTCTTGCAATTTCCAGCACCTGGGAAAACTGGAGCATCTGTTTAACAGAGATGCATCCAAAGCTCAGTGTGGGGCATTTTTATTTTTGGATTTGGGTAATCAAAATGAAGCACTAATAGAATTTAAGTACCTATTACTTTTTTTGGATCTAGCTCCTGGATTTCATCTTTCACTGCAGGACAGAAACTGTTCTTTTCACCTTGGGGACAGAAGTAAGAAAGTGTGAAAACTGTCACCCAGCTGTAAGGTAACATCAGGTGAAACAACATTTTATTTCAACTCCTACTTGGATACACCTACATCACAGAAACCACTATTGCAGTTCTAGTTCTTTTAATAAAGCCCAGATCTAATTGCTAAGTACAAAAAGACAATTACTCTATTTCCACAAAAGGTAATTCTCCTAAGTGTCATAATCAGGCATAAAGAGGAAGGTTATGCAACCCAAGCCATGCCTTCCCTGTATATTTGCTGTGGAAATTTAGGTTTACTTGGCATCCAATTTGCAATCAGTTTTAACACGGTTGTTTTGACTTACTCCTCTAGAAAAGTCCCCAAACAAAGTGCTGTCATTAGTTTGTTGCTGTCTTAAGTAACTCTTAAGAAGCAGTCCTGCCAAAAATTTATATTTATACATAGGCTAAAAAAACCCCATTGTTAGTTGGAAAAAAATTTCTATATTAGGGCATTGAGTTAAAAACTTTTATATAAAGTTATGTAAGAAACTTTAAATGCTGAACAATTTTCTGTTTGTAACTTCACTTCTATTTTAATCATTTATCCTTTCCACAGAAAAAAAACACTTTTTCTTCCTTGCACAAGCAAATTGGAGAAGTTTGCTCTATAAAGTATTCACCAAATGCTTCTTGTCTTGCAAAGCTCAAGTGTCATCACACTGTTTCCAACTCCTTTGTCACAAATGCCAACATCATGCAAAAAATACTCTGGATTGTAAATCTTGTGTTTCCTTTACAGTCAAGGAATTCACTCTCCAGGAATCACACATACTCTTCCCATGTCCTCATGAATCCTCGATGCAGTGCCAGGATAGAC